CGATGCGCACCGATCAAAACTGACCCGCCGCAAACCATAATGAAAAGCGGCTCATCAAGAGACGTGAATTCAACATAGGCCTACTTAGGCACTGCGAAACCTCACGAACTGAAAGTGCATCGCAGACAGAACATGCTGCCATCATGGGAAATTCTGGTACGCTGTTCCATTCCATCCGGGTCACCGGTAGGAAAGTTCTAGGTTTGAGTGAAACTATCTGTGAAGCTGATGACTCGCCTACTACTAATCATCAGTATTTTGAGGCACGGTTGGGCGGACCACCAGTGTCAGCTTCTTCTATAGCTAGTCCGGTACTCGTCCCATCGCCTATTTTAACAGACCCACCTTCTGAGGCGGAAATCCGTAAACAGATGCTCGCTCTGGGACGGTACAAAGCGCCTGGCTCCGAAGGCCTTCACAAACTCTATCTAAAGATGGTGAAACAATGATTATTAGAGAAATAGCGGCTCTGTTCTCTAGGGTTTGAAACCCTAAACAGGCCCCCTCACTGTAGAGCGAATTGATAATCCTACCCATCTTTAGGAGGGGGCCGTGCAATGACTGAGTTAACCACAGAAGCATAATTCTAATCCTAGTCGCTCTTCATGATTTTACAAGCGTAAAGAGCAGGCTGGATTGCGCGCCAGTAGTGGATACATCGATTAAATCTTTACTCTCCGACAGCTTTTACAGCACCGTTATGCCTATCAAAGACCAACGATCGTTGTATTCTTAGACATCCGCGCGGTCTTCGACTCTGCTGATAGGACCGCACTATGAAACTGTTTCTTGGGGAAAAGAGTACCTGTGAAGCATGTGTCGATCCTCAAAAATTTGTATCGTCATAGCTCAGGTTGGGTTAGGGCCAATAGTCAGCTTTCATCAAGCTTTGCGGTCTCCAGTGGAGTTCGATAAGGTTACCCTATATCACCATTTCTTTTCAACTGTTATAGCGGATGTTTACCAGAATGCTTTTCAGCTTTGTCTTCAGTTGGTGCAGCCCGCCTTTCAGATTGAGGATTTTCGTTGGTTAGAGACGATAATAGATATGGCCTAAAATAGTAGTCAGTGATGCGTGATGTACAGTCTGTTTGTTGAAATCCCGTTCCCAAAATATCGATAAGAGTACGATGAAACAAACAAAAACATTATTATCATCATTCGCTTAATCTACTGTTTGCTTCTTTTATCATTCTGTTCGGTGCTGGAATTCCTAATCTCCTGTTATTATTGCTGTTTCGTTGGTATCATGCTTGTTTGCAAACCGGAGATTTGCGTGTGTTTATGAGAAATACCTGCATGGCCCGATAAAATTTCCTTCGAAGCACACGACCGGTTTCACGATTCTTTTGACTCCTCAGACATGCGTTTTCGGCGATCTCTTATAAGGTTATTCAGATACTTGTACCCAAAAAGTGTATTTTCGACATACATAAGTTACAGGGATTCCATTGTAGTCCGTGGGACGACCGACGGGGACGCAGGTCTTAACTCGTGGATTATTATGAACATAGTACAGAATGAAAAAATTACTTAAAGCCGAAACAGCACCAGAGAAATATTGCTCAAATTGTTCAGCGATTTCAAAAATTCGTGGAGTGTAAGTTTCCGAATGAAGCACAAGCATTTAACCGTTGTTTAAATAATATTGCGACACTTCGCTAACACACGCACGTAAGTAAACAACCAACGCGTTTTTTACTGTCCGTCCTCACTAACAGCCGGCATCTATTGGACACCTATTTCTGCCCTTATGAGTCTATGTCAAGTCTTGCCATATCCATATTTGGTTTGCACTTCAGTGACACTTATCCTTTGTTGCACCGTTTGCGACTTGAAAATGGGGGAACTGAGTTTACTTTTCATGGATAAATGAAGTGGTATTTTCAAAAAAATCTATTACCTAGTGAAAATTGTCACTGTTTTAGATTAAAATGCGGTAATTGATAGACAACACATGAAAATGAGGTGAATAAAACAAAGAAACATGCTCTCTCCGAGATGATCCCGCTGCATTATCAGCAAGCCGATCCCAATGAGGACGAGATTGTTGATTTTTTTCATCCTCGTAAAAGGTTTGGCCTAAATTCGCGTCAGGGATTCATTAAATGGCACGCGAAAAGGAGCCGTCAATCAACAGTGAAAACCTATGCACCGCATAATGACATGAATCAATTAGCATTCATCTCCCGCATAGTGATTGACTCGATGAAACGTAAGACTACGATAGATGATATTCAAAGCTACGCTTCG